AATCTTAGGAAAATGTCAGATTAAGACCAACTACAAATTGGCGATTCCTACGCTTACAGGTGTGCCCAATCTGATTGGTAGTCCCATTAAGATTATTTTAATTATATGTAGTAATGGCATTGTCGTTTTCAGTAGAGATTCATACATAATTATCTAGGACTACTTTTAACAAAAGTAGATAAGTTTTACTTATTCAAACTACAGCTTTAACTCGCTATCATGTGGACAAAATGTTATAGACGATTCATTCATAACTTCAGATCGAATCTTGTGAAAGGAGCAAACGGTTGCAAATGGTAGGACATTTGCAAATCTTTTTTTTTTTTTTTGCAAATGGCGATTTTTTTATGCAAAAAAAAAAAAGGATGCCAGAGTATTGAGCATCATCATCTCTTTTGTGATAAAAAGAGAAAGTTTGAATGGGACTCGTAGATGTCTCCGTTGCCCTCCTAATATGCTAGCCCTCGTCGAACAATTCATAAAGAAGACTCTTTACTCTATGCCAGGACAACATAAAGATCAAACAAAGGTCCATCAATCATTTCTTTCATAACATCAAAACATCGTCGAAATTGTACCACAATCGATATGATGTGAATCTCTCTCGATCAGCTGCCCGGTATGGAAGAAGGCTTTAAACATGACAAGATCAAACTCTGTATGACAGGCATTTTGTACAAAAACAGGGCTGCTGTTTTGATTAAGTTCTACACCTCTAAACAAAAAGTTACGTGCAGTGATGCAGATCCTTGGTTTATATCATTTCAAAATCGTGGGAAACTTCACATCTTTGCTTGGAAAAGTACAAACAAGACTAGCAATGTGGCAAAAAAGTTAGAACAACAGATAAGAGCCCTGGATTACCTTTAGCATGTCGTTGATCCCGTAATTGTTGCCCTTGGGGTTGCAGCAAAATGCATTCAATGCTTATTCAGAATATCATTTCCTCCCCAAATTACAATTTACAACCAAACGTGGAAGTTTTGTCTGGAACTTGGTATGACACTGAAATCCTCATCATATTCAAATGCAAAGATTAAATCACATGGAGAATGATTAGAATAGCCTGCATCAAGATTGGAACAAATTCAGCCTTGTACCCCTTCTGAATGTGTTGTTCCATGAGCAATTTTTGTTTTGTTTTGGTCTCCACATTATTAAGTAACTTTATGTTTGTTATGCTATTCTCTTGTTCTCTCCTTCACATTAGGTAGCTTCCTAGAAATTGCTCATCGGTAGCATCCGATAACGTGTCACCCGACCGCTATGTGTAAGTTACCGCATGCACAATTAAAGATGTGCACGCGAGATAAAATGATATTTCTCAATCCCTCGTTTACAAAGTTTCTATATCAATTTTTCGCATTTGTGTAATTAAACAAGTTAAAGATTTCATAGGGGTAAGAAGATTTGGATATATGCAGCATACAGTTAGCATGATGAACTAGAAGGAAAGGATGACAATATGAACAGTATCTGGAAAACAGAGTAAGATTCAAAATAAGTACAGAACAAGTATCTAAATCGCACCTGAACGATGTCGATCTTCTATGCACCACTCCTGGTAAAATTTTGTGCAGCCTACTGCAAATTGAGAGCCACATTGGCCTCCATTGGGGTTGCAGGTGAAGAAAAGGCCCAAAAATAACACTTCGGGTTGATGATGATCTCATGTTCTTCGTCAAATTGTGGCTGATCCTCTGTCTCCGTGCATTCAATTCAATTCTTCACTCTGTTTTCGGAGAAACATTTTGCGGCTTCATCGTGATGAATCAGAACAATGGCCAAATGATTCCTTAAGCTATTTCCTTCATGTCTACGATTTACAGAATCGAATTCCGCTCGTGACACATCAATGAGTAGGCACTAATCGGACATAGAGAAGCCGAAGACAGCTTGGGAATGGCGGTGAATCGTCATCTCCAATCCCGACGACAGCAACGACACAGGAGGCGATCAGTTGCTGAATTGGTGATTGGATTTCTGAATTCTGAGTGCTTGTTTCAAGAAAAAAACGAATTCGCTTTTTTTTTGTCAGAAAAAAAAAACGAATCCGCTTGATGAGAGAGCTTATGTACCATTTTGGGTATGTTTATTTTTTCTTTCATTAACAATTAATTAAATCGTATGATTTATTTATGAAATATTTGATTTTAATAGTTATCCTCTCTACCGTAGAAAATTTAGATTTATCTTGTGAAATAGTCGTTAGATGAAGTATGCTATTTTTATGCTATTATGACTATAATTTTCGTACTATTTATCCATATAATAGTGTGATTCAATCGTTCTCATATCAATCGGAGCTCAAATCAGCATGTTTCAAGTAAAAAGTTACAATAATTAATAAAACAAATAATCTCGAATTGAAACTTAAATGATTATTTCATTTGAGATGATTTGTTTTTACATATGCTTCAATTTTCCGAGGGAGACAAAAAGGCTAAAAAGTACTATTAAAAGTTCAATTGTAGTGTAGGTGGATCTTCTTTTATGCGTTTCATTATCTCTGAAAGACATAGTACTACTTTGCATCGAAAAAATTCCTTAACGCGATAAAATAATCTTATTAGGGGTAAATTCCGTTGGTGATTATTGAAATTTAGTGGAATTTGCAATTTCGCCCAATGGACTCAACTTCCAACCTTTTGCAATTGATGCACTTAGATCGGAGCCTAATCAATTTTTCACCGTACCGCTAATGTGACAAACATGTGGCTGATTTTAAATGCCACATCATCGCAATGTGAGCATTATGGCGGCATTTTTGGGAAAATTGGCCAAATTCGGGTCAAAGTGCTTCAATTGTGCCAAAAAAAAAAGAGTAAAAAAAAATTAAATTTGCTGTATTGGTTGATTTAAATAGAAGTTCAATGACTTAATTGAAAGTTTCAATAAGATATGGTAAGGGCGGATGAAAATTACCCTTTTATTACAGGTCCCAAGTTTGAATTCTTATAAATCTATGATAATTGTAAAGCATGCTTTTAAATTCGGTGTAAACCCCTCGTATTTTGTGGGAATCGATTATTATAATCAAACTCTTATCACCTGCCAAAAAAAAATAAAAAAAATTAGGGAAATGCACGACACTTACCCACTAACTTAAAATACGATATACCCACAACTCTTGACTCCACTTATCCACTAATTTGCACCTCTCATTCACTAATCCACAAGATGATAACTATGCACGATTTCAGGACACACACTGTGACAAACCTTTTATTTTACGACGCCTTTTAAAAAAAAATTTAAAATTCAATTTATCATGTGAAGATTTTCAGTGATCCTCGCATGCTCAATTTGATTGTTCACATTCACACACATATTTTTTCGAACGCAATATTGAGCGAACTTTTTGTTTTATTTATACAAAAAGGAGCACGAAAGCAACACGCGCATGCTCCAGATCTAATACACGCTATAGCAATTTATGAACTATTAACCCCCACCTTATGCAATATATAATCTCACAAAAGAAATTAATTTTTTTATTAGTTTAATCTGAAAATTGAACTTAGGAAAATGGGGATAAAAAAGGAATTGAGAAAAGTAAAGGAGAAGAAAAGAACGAGAAGAAAACATCATTTCTTGGGACGGGGCAAATAGTTGTCCAGCCCCATGCATATTGAGGATTGGGCCCATTTTCCAAGCCCCATTATCGTAGAAAAGCAGGCCAGTAGATCGTATAATGCCATATCATTATATTTGTCAGTTCATCGTACTTGCCACTCCATTGAATTTAGGATTAATATCACGAAAAATCTCAAACTGATATACTTATGATAAATTTACCCAAAACTAATTTTTTAATCACAAATAACTCCAAACTAGTATATTTGTGATAAATTTATCCAAAACTAATTTTTTGACCACGAAAAATCCCAAACTGATACACCAGTGACAAATTTATCCCAAACTAATTTTTCAATCACAAAAAATCCCAAATCGGTACACTTGTGACAAATTTACCTTAAACTGGTACACATATGACAAATTTACCCTCCGTTAACTTCCATCAAATTTTACCATTAAATTTGTTGATGTGGATGACACATGGTAACGTGGTATGGTGACATGGCAAGTCCATGTGGAAATTCACAGGGCAAATACCACGAAAAACCCCAAATTGGTCCACTAACAGAGGGTAAATTTATCACAAGATTACCAGTTTGAGGTAAATTTGTCACATGTGTATCAGTTTGGGGGGTTTTTTGTAGTCAAAAAATTGGTTTGAGGTAAATTTGTTACGAGTGTACCAGTTTGAGGTTTTTTGTGGTTAAAAAATTAGTTTTGGGTAAATTTGTCACGGGTATACCAGTTTGGAGTTTTTTGTAGTCAAAAAATTAGTTCGAGGTAAATTTGTCATAAGTGTACCAATTTAGGGTTTTTCGTGATCAAATAATTAGTTTGAGATAAATTTGTCACAAGTGTACAAATTTTGAATTTTTTGTGGTATTAAACCTTGAATTTATTATATCGTAAAAAATTGCCACTTCATCTTCGTAGGTCACATTACCATAACATGTCACTTTATCGAAGTTGCCACCATTATACAATATGTCAGGACAATTGCACAATCAAATCCGAAATCTATAGTACAAAAATCAATTGAGATCTAAACCTTTTAATTGAAGTAATGTGCTCCTAAATCTTTGAGTAAAAAATGAAATAAAGTCCTTTTAGCCAAGTTTCGTGGAACTTATCTTCCGTGACACCAGCAAACGCAATGTCTTTGAACTCAAATTAGAGTAGCTAAGCAGTCATAATCATATCTAATGTTAAACCATTAATGATCACTCTTGATTTGATCCGGATACGAAGCAAAATACCGATTACGAAGCAACAAATATTCTCTTATTTTGACTAAAAAGTGCGAGTTTCTATTACCGGCACAACATTTAACTTGAGACACAAATATTAAACCAGTGCAATTGGGTGTAATTTGTGTGAGCTCTTCTCATTTGGTTCACAGAAGTGCACAGAATCTCAGGATATCAGAGAAATTGAACAGCTAAAGTTTTCAGGGAAGGACACTCAGTATTGTGCAGTCAGAGCAAATAAGCATTACTTATCACAAGAACAAACGAAACTAAGGTGTAATCAAACAAAGGTTCCTACGATGAGATTTTCAATTGAATTTGCACGTAGGAGCCTCATCTTTTGCCGACTCGGCAACTGTCAATCAGTACACCCTAGCTGAAAGGTGACCATCTTCTATTTGGAATTGTTCGCTCAAGCCAAGTTGTACCATCAATAACCAAACCAAGGTGAGAAGTTCTCCCCCTTTACTAAGTTGCTGAGCATGCATGAACGGTTGGCAATGAATCGCAGCATACGCCAGCAATTCCACCCAAACTTCGCTCACGATGACCCACTTCTTGTCCTTCAATTTCACCAACTCTTTAGCGAGAATACACGCATCAAAGAGCGCAGATTTGCTTCTGTCTCCTTTCAGTACAGCTGGATTCAATTCTGTAGGAACAGAAAGGAGAATTCGGCAGGCTTTCTCTTTGCTCGTTTTGCTCTTATCAAAGATAGTTTCATCGAAGAGCCTGTCTGCCTCAGCACAAGTGTCTCGAAACCTTATTTGGCCAATCCCAGCCACTGCAGACATCATATCTGGTTGTTTGATCATAAGATGAAGCATGTAATCTGACAAGACCTTACTGGTTTTACGGTGGTCGTTTGTACTTTCATCAGTGTTGCAACAGAGTCCGGTGGCACTTTCATCTGCGTCGGTGGCACTTTCATCAGTGTTGTAGCAGAGTTCGGTGGCGATGTGCCACAGTAAAAGGCTCTTTCCATAATCAACATCACAGACGAATGGAAGCAATTTTTGGCAATTTTCCCCTGATTCAGTATGCTCCAGAGCCCATTTACCTCGGGAAGCACAAATCTCATTTGTGCTTCCCAAAGATGCTTTCCGTTTCAGCTCATCAAAAATCAGTTCACCTAATTTTTCACTGTATTGTTTTACTCGTCCAAACTTCAAGTCATCAAAAAATTCCCCCAGATATATGAGACCAAGGAGTTTCTCAATCCATTTTGGCCACTTTCTCAGCCGGGTATCTAAAAAATTGTACTGGAAGATAGATTTAGACCATCTAGCATTTAGTATATGCAATGCAAATGGTGAACTTTCAGATTTGAATTTGAGGAGGAACTTAATGAAGATGCTTCCTTTAATCAAACTTCTACTATGTTCCTCAGCTGTAGCTATTTTTGCAATTGTCCAGTCAGAGCAAACGAGCCTAACAAAACCTACAAATTCCAGGCCAATAGCTCCAAGGAGCAAGGTGTATGTAATCTGTATATCATATTCATGAAAATCATGCTTGTCCAGGACGTAGAAACTTGCAAAAGCTGAAACAACGAAGCCAATTGCGATAGCTCGGAAAAGGTACCCTGTTGGACAGTGAATAACGGCAGCCTTGGTATAAAGAACATCATAAAAGAAGTTGAGCTCAGCTTCAATGACCCGAAAAGCATCCTTAGGGGTTCTGCTCGCGAAAAATTGGTTGCTGTCGTCGCGTTCATGGAAGCTGTAGATGAGATCCACAAGGAGGCCTTTGAAGGTTTTGAAGTAAAGAAACGCCTCTTTTATCACTGTTCTGTCCTCCAAAATATTTCCTTCTTCCGCTCCAACATGTACCGATATAAATTTGGACTCCGGCTCCATGAACAATATCTTGGTGGTAACGTATTCTTCCTCGAGCTTGGTATAGTTCGGCCCAGCATCAGCAGGTGGGAGCAAGGAACCACGGAATTTACTGAAGCTGGCGAGATGCAGAGCAATTATTCGCTCTATGTATTTAATGGTTCCGCCAATGAACATGAGGATGGTCGGAACAACTAGCTTGCTACTGGGGAAGGATTGATAAAATACATAGCCTGCAACGCCTAGCTGGAATAAGAGATTAAGCAAGTGCCTACGCCACAGCTCATTATCCTCGAGCGCGAAAGCGGTTATGGTGTCTGGTCCTCCGAGATGTAGCAGAAGAAACGGAGCCCAAAATGCCAAAAGGTCACCATATGCATCAGCCTCGGAGTCTGAAGTACCACCAGTTACTTGGGCTCTAGAAATGAGTCCAAAGGCATAGTCAGAGACCAAGTCGGCACCCAAGTAAGCTAACCAGATGAGCATCATGAACAACCTGTTTGAACACCTCTTTCGAATGGGTGCCAAAAAAATGAGAATGACTTGCAGAGATAGGCTCGTAAGGATCACCACTCGGACACTGAGTTTCATCCACAAATTCGCAGCTTTTGCAACGATTTTCATATTTCCCAATTTACCTTCACCGTCTTACCAGGTCCTGGAAGGAATTGTTTTAGTCAGCATGAGTATTACAATAAGGCAACAATTGAGTAGATTTTAAAATTGGAGAAGATAATAAGGGAAAAGGGAACTATTGAGGACAGAGGGTCGAAATACCTTGAAATTTATTTGCGAGCAGATAGAAATGGATGTCCTGCTTCAGGCAACCGAGTGTCAAGCTCTGCGTAGCCACAAAGGAGTTAGAAGCAACAGGACTCGAGCTGAGGTCAGCACAAAGAAGAACGGGAGTCCACGTGTTACTTGTGGATTGCAAATTCGAAGTACGAAAAATACTTGCTGTAAAGTGTAATATTTGGTAGGGGAGGAAAAAAAATAAGAGAGGGAAGTTGACTTGATCAAAAGGGATTAACGACAAAAATATAAAGAGAAGAAGGAGAAGAAGAAGAAGACGGGGAAGAAAGGGGAAATAATTGCAGCAACTCGAGGAGATTTTTTATTATAAGTTTTTTGAGTTTGGCTACACATATTTGTGGTTCCTCCACTTGCTTAAAGACAGATTTTTTATTAATCATGATAAATTTAAAATATTTCAAAGCAATAAATCTATCGGTACATTGATTGTCAGTATTGCATTTGGTCTCCTAGGCATTCTAAATGTCTGTGGAATTTGTGTAAAATTGAAAATTTTCATATCAACGATTTGACACAACATTAAGAATTTTTCCTCAGAAGCTCCTTTTATCGTCAATCGCTTCTTTCCAAAATGATACATCTTTATATGACATTGTCTCACTGAACAATCTCGGATCTTCATCCAAGTGAAATTACATGGGTAATTTATTAAAAAATTTTCATATCACCTTCATATCAGGAGAGTTACAAAATAAGAATCAAATTTTTTTTGTTATCTTCCCTCTTTGATTTCTCCTCGGCTCACTTGGAGAATCAAATATTTTTGTTTTATTTGGTGAAGGAATTCTTGCCTCGATTGGTTTTTATGAATATGCTGAATTGTCACTTGAATCTTTAAGAAATTTGTGTTCAATAAATTCGACATCTGTTGATTTCACAATAATATTATATCCAACATCTGATAATTGATAAGATTTAGAGTTTTCATCATTTCTAACAAACACACTTTTTAATGCCATTGTTCCTAATTTGGTTCGCTTAGGATCATGAATTTTATAAAATGCAAGGCATCCCCATACTTTAAAGTATTGGATATTAGGTAACCTTACTTTCTATAATTCATATGGAGAAATCTTATATTTCCTTTGAAGAAATTTTGTTGTGAACACGAGATGTACTAAGAAGTGCTTCTCCCAACAAATTGATTGGCAATTTGCTTGTAATTACTATATTTACCAAAATTCAATTCCACCAATCCATTTGTGATGTATAAGGTGCACTTGTTTGATGCACAATACCATTTTCATCACTTCTCAAAACTTTGATTTTTGCATCCTTATGATTTTCAACAATAGCCTTATATACCTTAAACACATCAAAAGTTTGGTCTTTTAATTTAATAAAGTAAACATAAGTATATCTAGAGAAATCATCAATAAATGCAATAAAATAACAATTTCCATCTCTAGTTGCTATACCATTAAATTCACAAATACGAGAATGCACCAGTTCAAGTACTTTAGTAAATCTGTCCACTTTTGAGAACGATTTCTTAATCATCTTTGCTTGTAAACATATTTCATAATCGTTCTTATCCAAATTATCACATGATATCATACCGCTTTTCTTCATAAATTTCAAAGTATTATAGTCAACATGTGACAATCTATTGTGCTACAAGGAAAATGACTCAAGCATATAAATAGAAACAAAAGTTTCATTAGTACTTATCTATGAAGATTGCGAACACTTGATGCGGCCACTCCATGAAAATAATACCTTAAGATTGTTAGGAAAATTTGATTGCTGATGAAGATAGATGAGTATTTTATAGTTTTTTTTATGCTTCAATGCATGATAACAATCATTGTCCTTAAGGTATTATTTGCTCTCACTTTTGTCGCTACCATATTTAAAGCAAACATACCTCTTGGATATACATCAAAACCATAGAAAAATAAATTCAGCAATCACTCAATTTTGCTCTTAGAATTTCATCTTGAATATGTTATCTAACTTGTGTGAGAAAAGAAAAAAAACACCATGAAGAAGATAAAGTTGTTATTGTTGTTGTTATGAGCATCAACGCATCTCTGGAGAATAAGTACCTTATCGGAAAGACACAACTTTTCCTGATCAATCATTATTTCACTTTATGTCAACAATAACTTCTTTTCATAAGTAATAATCACTTTTTTTCATGTCCAATGATCACTTCTTTTCTGATAACAAGTATTTCAACTGTAACTCTACATCTTGAGGAGTTAAATCTGATTAAGGACAACCTAGAGTTGATAAATAAGATATTTGGCCTTAATAAATTGAAGACTCTGTCTATCTCACAAATGGAGTTTCTAGAATGTTTCCCTGAAAGGCGTTTCCAACATCGCGCTTCGCTTGAAGTTCTTGGCATCAGGCATTGTCCTCGGTTTACTTCTCTCTCACTCCGTAGGAGACATTTAATAAACCTTGGGCGTCTTTGTTTCCTTTTTCTTTTTATTGTGAGAGCTCAATTTATCCAAAGATGAAAGCGACATCATCTTGGATTTGTAAGGACATACGAGTCTCTTCGTGGGCACTGTTGACGTCCCCAAGCTAGTATCTCTCCCACAGTAGCTTCTACAACTCAGCAATTTCGAGCATCTTTCATTAAAAAGTGCTTAAATTAAATTTGAAGACTTTACCAGCGTAGATCAAGGTCTTCCTATCACTTCAGCAACTTAAAATCATCCGGTGCCCCTTGTTGACATCATACCTCAAGGAATGCGAAGGATTGCATCCCTTAGTCACCTAAAAATCGCAGGTTGCCCAGATTTGGAGGATGAGTGCGAAAAAGATGCAGGACTAGATTGGTACAAGATTGCTCATATCCCGCACATATCTCACGGGCTCAAATGTTTCGACCAACTCAAATATTTTGACTATAAATTCTCCACTTTTCTTTCTGCAGGTATGTTGATCTTTTTTCCCAGAATTAACATAAATAGTTACTTTCCATTGTATTTCAATACTTGATTTGATTGGGAGACATGGACAGATCACTAAAAGGTTTGGAAACATCCTTGGGTATCCCATGGATGAAGGTTTCAACAAGTTGTGGAAACATCGATGTCAACGTTATCCTTCAGCATGGCCCTCAATGGGATGTCCCTAAGCTAAGTGCTTGTTTCACATAACTCCAAGCTCATTAAATCTACCTCTGGACTCATGCTGGAGTTATAATGTGAGATCTGCTTATTTGATTTCACAAGAAGTAAAATGCACGTATAGAGTCCGATGATTCCGAAAGCATAAACAAACAAGTTTTAAAATAACGCATCTGACCCTCATCATCATTATTGGCTTTTTTCGTTTTATTTTATTGTGTCATTTGTGAAACCATATTATGTATATATACGTGCATATATATATATATATATATATATATATATATATATATATATATGAGAAAGTAAGATAGAACGGAGCTTAATGGTCAAGCTAGCTATATCATTGCAAAACTTCATTACTTCCCACTTTCCTCAACATTAATTAGACATAGTGCGTTAAAATAAAGCAAAAAAAAAGCTTAATCATAGCATTTAATCTAGGATAATGTTTTTAGAAAAATATATCGACATCAACTTACCTTTTTTATTAAATTGAATGTAATCTTTCATAAATATACGTATATACATAGGTTTTGCAATTGGTATTTGTCATTTAAATTTTTTATTATCTACAATTATTGTACATTTATATTATCTTTAAGAGGGTTTTTGTAAAACAAATGAGGTGGGTGCCTATATTAAGCTTAATTGTCTCTTTATCTCTAGGGATAAGTGCATTTAAAGTCCTAAAACTTGTCACGAAAGTGCAATTGAGTCCTAAAACTTTCAAAAAGTGTAAACAAGTCCTAAAACTTGTCACGAAAGTGCACTTCAGTCTTAAAACTTAAAAAAGTGCAAACAAGTCCTAAAACTTGTCGCGAAAGTACAAACAAGTCCTAAAACTTGTCAAATTGATTCAATCAAGTTCTTCCATTGATTGTATTTTTTGAAAGTTTTAGGGCTTGTTTGCACTTTTGTGACAAGTTTTAGGACTTGTTTGGACTTTCGTGATAAATTTTAGGATTTATTTGAACTTTTTGAAAGTTTTAGGACTCAAGTATATTTTCGTGATAAGTTTTAGGATTTATTTATATTTTTTGAAAATTTTAGAACTTAATTATACTTTTATGATAAATTTTAGAATTTCTAGTATATATATTCTTTATCTCTAAAATAAAAGGAGGAGGGAGGAGACAGAAGTGGCGTAGAACCAAAAATAAAAAAATAGAACCTAAAAAAAAAGCGTAAAGTAATGTTAATAGGTGACTATGGTCGAATCAGGTTGCTTTCTAGCCATGTCAGTGACGTAGCAGGATCACTTCAGACACCTGGACCCCAACGTACCTGTCCTATCTGTCTGTGCACACGTTGTCCACTCCAGATTCGCCATATACCAACAAAATCTCCGCCCCAAATTGAAATCTCGAGCCTCGGCCCCACTGGAAAGATACTTTTGCAAAGGACTTTGGGCCTGTTTAGTTCAGCTCTGAGGGAATGCATTTGGTAAAATGCAAATATCTTTGAGTTAAAGGGGTTTTTCGAAATGCAAGTAGTGTTTGGTAACGTGTCTTTTAACCGTTTGGTAAAATCTTAATTTTGTAAAGGACTTTTGCTAATATTTTTTAAAAAAATTTTTGGCCGAACAAGACCAGCCGCGATTGTCCATGATGTCCGATAGGCCAAAGCGGCCTAGCCAACCTCCGTGACCGGATCGGCCGCGCCTTGGCCTCGCCGAGGTCGATCGACCTCCGGCGACCACCGCCTGGGGGTCGCCCGACCCCGGCGACCACCGCCTGGGGTCGCCCGACCTCACGCAGCGCTTGGGTCGCGCGATCCAAATCTGGGTCGCGACCGGCCAGCCCTTGAGGCCGGGCGACCCCGAGGCGGTGGTCGCCGGGTCGAGCGACCTCGGTGGCTCGCCACTGGGGGTCGGGCGACCTCCGGCCCCGCCGCTTTGGGGGTCGCGACCCGGCGGCCGCCCTGGATCCGTGGAGCCTCGGGCGGTGCTCGGGTCGCGCGACCCGCCGCCGCCTTTGAGGGGTCCGGCGCACCGCCGCCTGAGGGTCGGCCAACCTCCGGCGACCC